AATAATTAATTAAAACTTTCTCGTCTAAGACACATTCTGAAAAATATTATATAGCTACTGTTAATAAGTGTCGGAAAATTTAAATTTGGCGCATTCGCATTTCCGGATACGTCCGCCATCAGAGGCCACTTTTTTGGTCTCCTTTTCATAAGGAATAGATTCCCTCTTTTGTCTTTTTGCTCGATGGGCTAAACTCATAATAAATAATGCATAATGTAATAAACTATGTCAACTAGGTCCCCAAAATAAAAAAGGATTAAATTTTATGAATATTGAATTCGTGTGGTAAATTTGGTTAGGGTTATTAAGATAGGTATCTAACAAACAAAATATCGGAATTAATGACTAATGTTGGTCCTATATAAATTTTTAAACTTTTCTACTTACCGCATCTGTTATATTTTGACATTTTATGCACAAAAGTAAGAAAACCAAAATTGCGTATATCATAGCCACAAACGCTTTTAGTTTATTATGTGATTCCAAGTCCTACAAACAGTTTTATGTGATAATAATAATTAACAAATTGCATTTATTTTTTTAGGAAGTCGCTTTGGAGCTTTAACGTTAGGTTATTACTAGGTGTAATAACTTTAGGTTATTATTAAAGTAATAGCGAGGTAATTACGATAAATTATAAAATAGGATGTTATTGATTAAATTTGAAAGCCAATTGAAATAACAAGAATTTGATAAACAATAAAAGATTACAATAAGTAAAAAGTACAATATGATCAAACCAAAAATTAGTAAAAGTAACAACAAACCGTTAAGAAGGTATAAATGGATTGCATATGAATGAATTAAAATGACCCTCATTTTATTCAGTTGCTCTGCCGTCTTAGTTGAATAGGGCGTATCTACAGTTTTAGTGATTTTAAGTTACTACGTGCATCTAAAACTTTATAACTAGTTGCATCTTTCTATTAACGGCAAAAGCCGTAAGTGTGATTAACAAGCCTGTAAATGTCTAAAAACAAATAGCCGTATCTACAAAATAACACTTATTTTTAGTTAAATTGGACGTATCTACCACGTATTATCCACACGGCCATATCTCACTACCGTAAAGAGCATGCACCTCTTCGCAAGTATCTTCCTTGCGATATAACAGTAAAATCATTGTACAACGATTTTAAACAAAACTACTCGCAATATTCTATCTCTTACTGTTTGTGTCAGAATGTGGTTGTGAAGATGAACATCTCATTTTCAAAATTAGGCCATGAGGAATGTTGGGAATGTGAAATGTTTAAGAAACATCAGTCGATAAGTGGACATAAAAAAGATGCCCTCGATATTACTTGCAATAACTGTAGAGAATGGAACTTACATGCCGCAAGATTCAAAGCAGCTAGGGAAACGTATCAATACGACCCAAAAGATCAAAATGCAAACAAAATAACAGTTACAACTGATCTGCTTAAAGTGAGTATCAGCTTTTGTAGGCTTTAATGCTAGTAATTTATAAATTTTTGCTTTTCAGGTAATAATGATGACTAGATACGAAACATTCAAAGAAATTATTTTCATGCCCCAACTGGTTACTTTTAACGAAAGTTTCGTGCCGGCCGACAAAAAAACGCTTTTTTGCTCCAACGGCAGTAATATGGCATGAAGTTATTATGGGTAGGTCAAAGGAGAATATAATAAGTTCTTTTTTGCATATTTTATGTCAATTAGGGATGTGCAACATGTTACGCTCTGGTTAGACAATTGTTCCGCTCAGAATAAAAATTGGACTCTCTATTGTTTTTTTGTTTATTTGTTGAATTCTTCTAAAACATCTTTAGATTTTCTAGAACTTAAATATTTTGAAAGAGGTCATACCTTTATGGCCGCGGACAGCTTTAACCATCAAGTAGAGGCTGCGTTAAAAAAGAAAAACAAAGTTTATGACTTTTGGGACTTCAGAGATGCCGTTAAAGTGTCTAGTAGTCATACTAATGTCCTGGAGATAAACATTGGAGACTTTTACAAATGTTTTGATCATAGATCCCAATATAAGCCTAACAAAATAGTTTCTCGTCCATATTTCAGAAGTATGGTCCATGTTATTTTCAAAAGACATGAAAACAGTTTAAAGCTCTTAGTTTAAAGTTTAAATACAAAAGCTCTTTTGATGAACCTAAAGGAACTAAATTGAATTTTCTTAATGCAAAGGCACATAAACAAGGTAGGTGTATGTATATGTATATTAGAACTCAGAGCGGGCTTGAAAATTCATATGATAATAAATTACCTAATACTTACATCGACCAAAGAATATGAGTCTAGTAACATCTAAGTTAGACTTTAGTCCTAAGTATAAACCTAATACGTATACCTAATAAGTATAAACCTAATACATAAATATAAACATATAAAGTAGGTTTTCTTTTTAGGAATATACAAACCTAATAAGCATGAACAATGCAGAGGCTTTCCTAAAGAAAAAACGAATTCAGTAATTTGTAAACTCAGCGAGATCGCCCCGGAAAACAGATTGGTTTTTTGAAAAAATCTACCAGAAGCTGCTGGAGCCGAATTACCAATAACTGATGACGAATAAGGTATGAAACTTTTACCGATTAATAAATCACTTTCATAAAAAAATGAAGTGTTTCATTTACGACTTTTTTTATTTGTTCTAAATTATTAGGTAAGTAAGACGTAACTAACAAAAGTCATGTTTACAGTTAATTTCGTTCACATCTTATAATTGTTCAATAATTAGAATATAGCCTAAAGAACTTTCTAATAAAACTCTATTTGTATCATAACAGAAGATGACGGTGTCAACAAAAACAAAAATTCCTTATTTTCGCGACACTAACATTCTGAAGATACGCCTTATTCAAATAAGACGGCATCGGCAGTTCCATCAACAAGTCCACGCAGACACTTCGTCTTAGCACTAGCAACCCCAGTGCAGTTCTGCGTTACCATGTGACCAGTTCCTTTTATAGTTTAAACATCATAGTTTTTTAATATCAAAAATGTAACTTAAAATTATTCTAACTAAATTTACAGGGTTTTACCCATTTATTTAGTGACTTCAAACATGTAAATCCAGATAGCACCCATGATGGAATAGTTATTCCGGAAACGCTCTGTAATGTAGCCTGATAGGGTTTTAACGCCGGCCGTACTTATGTGAGGACGCTTATAAAAATATATATTCTAGTGAATTTTAAAATGTTTTGGGCTATTAGTCACGTTTTCCCTTATAGGTATAAATAGCATAGTCCCTAACTGGCTTGAGTTTGCTTTAAATACAACCAAATGAGTTTTAAAAGAGGTGTTGTTGCAAAATAAAAAATATTTTTTCATCAAGAAAAAAATTTTATTGTATAAGTTTTATACTGGAAATTAGAAGTCCACGGACTATGCTAAATGTAAGTATTAAGTATAAAAATGTTATTTTATATTTTGATAGTATTTAGCAGCCACTATATTTTACCATTCTTAAATGAGAACGTTGGACACAAATATGCCTAATTCGTGTATTTGCTTGTTTTCAGATCATCATGGATCCTACAATATTTTATGTCTCTAAAACATTCCAAAGATTGGAACAAGCTAATAGTGAGGAAAATGAACAACTGGAGAGTATTGATTTGTGTGTTTTGTCACCACATTTGAATGAACTGACAGATAATGAAGAACATGATAATAATACTCAAGAATATCCGAATTACATTCCAAATGAAATTTCTTGAACTATAGAAACCTTTTTTAAGTCTCACGATGAACCAGACGATGTAAGAACTTCTGATGAAGTTTCGGATGGACAATAAAATTAATTTGCTAATTGTTTAAAACCCAAGTGGGTAAAAACCGATTTTTATTCTACTACTACAACAGTAAATATAATTATCATTTGAAGAGGAGAAGAAAAACGTTTAGGAAGATTACATGTGGCTAGGAAATTTTCAGTCAGTAGCTAATACTATTGCGAGATTAATGGAGCAACAAATCCACTGAAACAGTTACTTAGAAACTGTGTCAAATTGCATTGAATGAATTAACAGAAGCCTTATTGGAAAAACGAGTTTGGACAAAACCATGGAATTTAAAAAGGAATGAATGTAGATCATCCGCACTGGTTTTAGAAGAACTTTGCAATAAAGACTTAAAAGAGTATATCAGTATTTTACGAATGAATCCATATGTGTTTGATATTTTGATAAGTCTTGTGATATCAAAAATTCAACGTCAGCATACTATTATAAGAGAGGCTTTACCAGCAAGAGTAAAATCACTTTAGATTTTCTTTCATCCGGCATTACTTACAGAAGACTGAGTCACTTTTATCGGGTTTCAAGGTGTTCCATATTTAAATTCATACCAGAGGTATGTGAAGAAATCTTCAAGGCATTCAAAGAAAACATAAAGGTTAGTACTAATGATACCTTTATATTTGTATTTATTTATCGCAAAATTACAAATAAGATAATAAAAAAATTATGCATTGGGAAATGCTAAAGCAATATTATTCTCATTGTCCTGGAGTAAAAAATCTAAATTATTCTCGTCGATTGGATTTTGTCGTTGATATATTAATAGCTTCATTTTCTGCAATTATTGACAAATCCGACTCTCCTGATGTAAGTGGCAATGGTACAGTATTAATTCTTGTGTGTGAATCTAAAGAGCAATGACTACTAGGCGTCTGGCATATAAATGTGGTGTTTACGTAGTTCAGATCTTCCGTGCGAGACTGAGATACTATGGCATTGATTTTGTTCCGAGTCATAATAGTTCGTGCAGTAGATAACTAATTTTCAGTTGGCTACTCACAAAAGTTCCAAAAATATCATGCTCATTTTCGTGTGAAGTAGAATGCACACCCGTAGGTGTACTATTTAAATCATTCTTTATCTACTTTATTTCCCTAACCAAAGATGCCATTTCTGAAATTTTTCTTTTTTTCGGAGTTGGAGCTGACATTTTATCGTTTGATTTACTAGTAGTTTTCGCAGTTGGCGTCGTAGACTCGTTGCGTTGTGGTTTATTACCTATCGCAGACGTAGATGGTCGTGATGAATAATTTTCAGAATGTAAAACATCTTCACTGGTATCACTATTATCATTGCAGCTGTTGTCAATACTATTTTCTTTGTCATTTTCAATGTTGGTTTGGTCACTGGGCTGTTATCTTCCTCTTCATATATTGCTGATTCTTGACTTTCCTACAATAAAAAAAACACTTTAGTAATAATTATAATAAGTAGGTATATTATTATTTTTTAGATACCAAATAATGTCGAAGAATGGATGGAACTTTCCTTTATGCTATGGTGCCGTTGATGGAAAACATATTCAAATTATCGCTCCTGGAAATAGCGGAAGTATGTACTTTAATTATAAAAAACTGTTCAGTATTGTTCTAATGGCGTTAGTAGATGACGACTATTGCTTTATTATGTTGATGTTGGGGCTTGTGGAATGGCATCAGATGGAAGCGTATTTAAAAATTGCTTTATATATAACGAACTGAAAAATAGTCTTTTATCAGAGGGTGGAGTGATTATTGCGGATGCCGCATTTCCATTAAAAACCTATTGAGGGAGCCTTGTACATGGCTACCTACATCACGAGAGTTGGAAATCTTTGGATTCCAAGCCTTACTTCAAAGGACGTGTGAATTGATGCATCTCCATAGGTTTGGTTCTTCAGTGACCGTTGAAGGATAAGGATTCTTAATGTGAGCAAATATAGCTCCAGAGAAATAAAATCACTTTTGAGCTTATTGATTTATAATTAAATCTTTTAACAGTAGAGAGGCCTAACACGGCCGTAACTTACTATGCAATATCAAATGTACCCTTTCTTTATAACACGTAAAGGAAACACCGTAATGAGAAATTGCCCGATTTCGGCGGAGAGAAATATTTAATACGTGAATTGCGAGTTTTTAACTACTCGATGCGATGCGTCGATGGCCATGTGTTAACTTGAACTGATAAAACACGACATAATGCGTGAACGGGAAGATGACCCCTATGTTATTTAGGTGTGAAAAATATTTAACAGGGTCAGACATCAGACGCCATTCAGTCGGGTGTCGCGTTCAAACTTGATAAAGTGACTATTCTAGTTATTCTACACTAAAAAAAGTCTAAAGAATTATATTTTTATTTTATATTTTAAAACGATATGTTCATTTCTGGAACACCTATATTATAAAACCTTACCCTGGTGACAATTTAACATTGGAACAAAAAGTTTACAACTACCGACTATCCAGAGCAAAACAAATAGTGGAAAATGCCTTTGGTATATTGGTAAGCCGATTTCGTGTATTCCAAAAACCAATTGCAACCAATATAGAAACAGTCGACAAAATTGTATTCCCAGCATGTGCTTTACATAATTGGTGGAGAAAAGAAAATCGAAATTATTTAATTAGCAGTGATGTCGACCGGGAAGATATTGATGCAGAAAACACCTCCCAGGGCTCTTGGAGAACAGAAACTACAGGACTTGAAGGCTTATGTCAACAAATGAGTAATTATTTTTCTACGTCAGCAATATCAAGAAGAAAGACTTTTAAAACCTACTTTAACAATGATGGTGTGGTGCCTTGGCAAATAAAAATGATTTCTTGACTGTTTATTTATGTGCGCGCTACAGATAAAACACCCTGCTTTTCAAAATTTCTGTGTGGCGTGACACCCACTTTCTTTACTATAAATAAATAAATAATGCAATGTTACTTACCGTTTTTTTCTTTTTATTGGTACATATTTAATAAAACGGCATTTCATCGAACCAGTTTAATTTTAACTTATACTCGTCCTTGGAACCTTCTCCAGAAGTTGATTTTTCAATTTTTGACACTTCCTGACAGTAAGTTGCTCGTAAATTTTTTATCTTCATTTTTATGTCTTTGATAGACATTTCTGTGTCGAATTCTAACAATTTGACACATATTGTTTGTAGTGCTGAATCACGAATAAACTTATATATATTTGATGGAATTGTGGCGTTCCACAGACATTCTTCCTCACCATACATTTGTACAAACTTTAATTATTCTCGGCACTTAATTTTGGCATATTATGTTTATATGGTATTATCCTTGAAAAAATAAATCAGGTCGACACTACGCACTTGCCGTTCGAAAACACTAGCTTCGCCGGCCAGACGAGGGTGGTACATAAGCCAGGATAGTAAAACCAGTAGAGGGGGAACCAAGTAGCTTAAAAAAATAGAACTCCATGCTAATAAACTATCCTAGCTTAAGACACTGGCTTACCGTCTTTCTCGCTAGCTTACTAGCCTACACACGAAGCTAGTTCTGTATACATGAAGCTAGTAATACTATCTTGCTAGTTTAAAAGCGCTAGCTTGCTATCCTAGCTTGAAAAACTAGCCTCCTGTATTCAGGGAATCAGTGCTGTTTGACGGTTCTTGTATTTATACAGAACACGATACTGGTACGTCACACGTGAGGGGAGTAGGATATTGAGACCCCGAACTCGAACGGAACTATATCACTCTTGAGCATGGCTGTAAAATGGGTGCCGAAACGTCGAACATTAAATTATTAACGCAATTCTTCCCGAGAACTTAGTAATTTTTATTTGTCTGACTCTTACATCATATTGTAAAAAAATATATTAAAAAACAATTAATATTCTTTAAATAATTATATATCTTTCAAATAATTTTATAATGTACTGAAATATTTATTATAATATAATATTTTTAATAGGTACATGTTTGACAAGTTTTTCTACAAAAAAGCTACAAATTAGAAAAAAAGCTGGTTCAATAGGCGGTAGAGTAGACTAGTGTGAAAACATGGTATGAAGCGAAGCTTCGTAAGGTCCAGTAAGAAAAAGAATATCCTAGCTTTATAATTCATAAAAATGCTTAAACTTGACTACTATCGGACTTTTTACACAGCAGTCAACAAAGTAACAATAATCATGTTTGTGTCCAACATCCGTAATGGATAGGCACCATAAGAATAAGGAGATTCGTATCATATGAAAAGTCAATTAACACAAATTTTGATAACTGTCATTTACTCATTTACTTACAGAAAGTAAGAAGTATGTTGTTGGTACTGCCATCATTAGACCACTTATACACAATAACAAAGTTGCTGAATCTTGTATTTTACCCAGGGTATAAAAAGACCTAAAATTTAAACCGCTTTAAATTAAAGTTAAAAAATATTAATTTATTTGTATTTTAAAATTTTAAAAAATTATTAAATATGAAATTTAATTATATAAATAATTTATCCACCAGTCTCCATATATCGATTCCACGCATCCATAACAACATTACGCGATATTCCTAATGTATGAAACATAACCTTGAATGTACCCAGCCCCAATTAAAGTAAAAAAGTAAAAAAAAACGTAAAGGAATATTAAATAATTGATTCTGTGAGTAGACTAGTAACAGCTAACAATTGCGGATGCAATTTATCAAATCGATTGGGCAGAAATACAGAGCGTGGACGGTGAAAACTTAGACTAATGAAACGAGTTTTATTAATCTTAGTATCGTTTAACTACTGCAATGAATGTTACCAAAACGCATGTCATATTTAGTTTTCTTAGAGTTATAAGTAAAGGTAATAGATTTTGACAAGAGCTATGAGTTATGCCGATTTAGTACACAAGTTTACCTGTTATTTACAAGGTTATAGCTCTTGTCAAAATCCTTATGGCTCTTATGTATTATAGCGGCTTCCCACGATCAGCGATTCTACAGATCATCGCGTACTGCTGACGAGCACGGACAGAGCTCTTCCTACAGTTCTTGATGATCTGTGTAGGTCTCTCCTTTTGTCTTTTGCCTTTTGTATATCGACATTAAATTGTCACTCTTTTTTATGTCTATTCGAAATAGTACTATTCTTCAATAAATTTGTTATTCGGTTTCATGCATCGTATAATAATATATTGTTCCAGTTATTATGCCCTAGCGCCGTAGAATTCCTTAAACTTGGTCCATTTTAATACAAATTTAAAAAATTAAAAATAACTTTGTTTGTCCATTCTATTTTTTAGTAAAAAACTTTGACAATACCTTACAATAACAAAAATAAAAAATATTTGAAAACTGCAAAACAACTTTGACAATACTACAGACAACTACTCGTGTCAGCGAATGAACAATTTCTAACTTAAACTTGTCTGTTAAAACAGGGACGCGCTCGGACCGCGTCGCACGGGCATGTACCGCTCCATTGATGTTAACGACTCTCAATAGATAAGACGCACTACCAGCACAGACGTGTATGTACTACCACGAACGAGACTGGTCTGGGCCCGTCGTAGTTTCTATTGTGTCTAACGATATATTCTTCTTCTTCTTCAAGTGCCCTGTCCGTTGCGAACGTTGGCTATTAACATGGCAATTTTGATCTTGTTTGCGGCGCTTCTGAATAGTTCGACCGATGTGAGCCCGAACCACTTCCGCAGATTTTGGAGCCACGAGTGTCTTCTCCTGCCTGGCCCTCGCTTACTGTCTATTTTTCCCTGGACAATCAATTGTAGCAGACGGTACTTATCGTGTCTCAATATGTGGCCTAGATATTCAAGCTTTCTTTGTTTAATTGTATTCACGATTTCTTTCTCCTTTCCGATTCTTTGGAGTACCTCTATGTTGGTGACATGTTCGGTCCAGGATATACGAAGAATGCGTCGGTACACCCACATTTCGAATGCTTCTAGTTTTCTCGTTAGCGTCTCCGTCAGCGTCCAGGCTTCCACGCCATACAGCAAGATCGGAAAAATGTAGCATTTAACTATACGTAGTTTTAGGGGAAGAGATAAATCCTTGCTTATGAGGAGCTTTTTCATATTGCTAAATGCTGCTCTAGCTCGTTCTATTCTCGCCTTAATTTCTATGGTCTGTTCCCATTTTGCATTTACGTTGGTGCCAAGGTACACATAAGATTCTACATAGTCAATTAATATGTTACTTATCCGTAATTGTCGAGCAGGTTGTTGCTTTTTGCTTATCAGCATCCACTTTGTCTTCTTGAAGTTGAGGCTCAGGCCGTATTCCTCACTAACTGAATAAAGTTATATATATATATATATATATATATATATATATATATATATATATATATATTGCTTTTGTTAAATATTATTTAAATAAATCAAATGAAAGAACCTAGTACTAACAGGAAGAGTATAAATGTGACAAGTTCTCGTAAACATTTAGGACATAAAGATAAAAAATAGTGTCTAATGTGTATTAGACCCTATTAAAGTATTTGAGGAAAAAAAATGTCTTGGACAGAGGCAATAAGTCTTTGTAAATATATGACAGCAGTATCGTCGTCCACTGTTTACAGGATTGTTCATTAAAAACATCCCTCGGGTGAAGTTTAAGTCCTACAGGCACATTTATGAGATCGAAAACCAACTGAATTTAATGAACTGGATAATTTAGAGATAAGACAAAGTTTGCTCTTTTTATTTTATTAAAGAAATTCCTACTTTAGATAGAATCTTTTATGTAATAAAATCTAATAAAGTAATTCCCTAAATGAGTCGTGCAACTTTGCATGAGCAGTTCTTCTTCTTTAAGTGCCATCTCCACGACGGAGGTTGGCAATCATCATGGCTATTCTGACCTTCGAAGCAGCTGCTCTGAACAATTGCCTTGAGCTGCAACCAAACCACTCTCTCAAGTTCTTCAACCAGGAAACGCGTCTTGTTCCTACGCTTCTCCTACCCTCTATTTTTCCTTGAATTTTGAGTCTCATGATGTTGAATCTTTCGCCTCTCATTACATGTCCGAGATATTGCAATTTCCTTTTTTTATTGTATTTTCCATTTCCTTCTCTCTGCCTATTCTCCTTAACACTTCTGCATTCGTGGCTCTATCGACCCATGGAATCCTTAACAAGCTTCTAAATGTCCACATTTTAAACGCGTTAAGTCGATTTATTGTATTCTGGTTTAATGTCCATGATTTAGCTTCATAGTAGAGTACATTGTGTACATAGCATATAATTAGCCTTATTCTGAAGGCCAATGTCAGATCTTTGCTGCATAAAATCTTTTTCATTTTTACAAAGTTGGCACATGCTTTTTCAATTCTGAATCTTATCTCTGCAGTATAATCGTTATTTTGTGTGATTATCATTCTCAAGTATATTTTTTTACTGTCTGAATCTGCTTAACTGTATCGTCAGCATACCTAATGTTGTTAATTAAACTTCCGTTCACTTTTATGCCGACTGTCTCGTTTACCAAAACTTCTTGTATGAATTCTTCAGAATACGCATTAAACAATAACGGCGACAGTATGCAACCTTGCCTGACCCCTCTTCTTATCTCCACTTCTTCTGACACTTCTCTTCCAATTTTCACATTTGATCGTTGGCTGTAGTATACACTTGATATTAATGTTAAATCCCTCACCTCTAGATTCTTGTTTTTGAGTACTTCTATAAGTCGGTCATGTTTTACTTTATCGAATGCCTTGTTGTAGTCTCTAAAGCGTACATAAAGATCTCGATTTACATCCAAACATCTTTGGGTTAGCACGTTAAAAGAAAGTAGTGCCTCTCTTGTGCCCATTGCATTCCGAAATCTAAACTCGGAATTACTAATATCCATCTCCAGCTTAGCGTGTATTCTATTATGGATGATGTTTAGCAGAGTTTTTAAGGTATGTGATATTAGACTGATCGTTCCATAATCACTACATTCTTTGGCATTTACTTTCTTTGTTAGACAAGTAGATGTTGATCTCAGCATTTCATGTGGAATGATTCCTGTGGAATAGATTGTGTTTAGTAGTTGGACTAAAAGATCTAGGTTTTTTTCATTGACCAGTTTTGGCAATTCTTGGTAATTCATCTGGACCAGCAGCTTTATTATTTTTCATGGACTTTACTACATGCATAACTTTTGACTTTGTTATTTAAGGTCCCTCATCTTTACGCTGATTTTCTTCATATATATATTTTCTTGTCTCTTATCATGGAATAATTCCTCTATATATTCTTTCCATCTTCCTAATTTTTGTTTCGTCTCCACTAAAATATTTCCTTGTTTGTCCAATAGTATGCTTGAGGGTTTTTGTTTTGCTACCCCATTCTTTCACTTTCGTATGGAGATTGTAGTTATCATATTTGTTTTGTAAGTCTTCTATTTTTTGGCATTTTCCAGCGAAATAAGTCTCTTTAGCTTCTCATACTTTCCTTCTTATTTGATTATGCAGCTGTTGATACTGAGTTATGTTAATATTCTTTTGCCTTCTTCTGTCCTCCATCATTTCCAAGATTTCTTCTGTCATCCAATCTCCTTTCTTTAATGTGGTTGTTGTGAGTTCTCTGCGACTTGGTTAGATAATTGCATTTTTAGAGAATTGCCACTGTTGTTCTACATCACCAGCAATTGATTTCGGTGTGGATTCTAGGTTTGCATAATTTCTTGTTTTAGTTTTTCTTTGACGTCTTCTGATTTTAATTTTTGTATATTTAGTTTATTATTTTTATAGGTTTTGGTATCTTTTTTAAATAAAGTTGGAATTTTGCTACAAGAGGATTGTGGTCTGATGCCACATCTGCCCCTGGGTACGCTTTCACCGATTGTATTGGGTTTCGGTATCTGTGGTTTATTAAAATATAGTCAATTTGGTGTCTTACGATTTTATCGACCTTGTTAGCTGCCTATTTCTAAGTGTAAAGGCGTTTAGGCAGTTTGAAAAAAGTATTCATTACCGCAAGATTATGTTCTAGATAGAATTCTATAAGACGTTCTCCTCTCTCATTTCGAAAAACCGAGTCCATATGGTCCTACAGTAGACTTACATCTTCCTCCTCCAACTTTGGCGTTAAAATCACCCATGACTACTGTTATATCTCTGGGTGTTGTATTTTGTAGGGTTTTTTGAAGATCATCGTAAATTTTTTCAATTTCTTTCTCTGTTTTATCGGTTGCCTTCTGCAGCTGGTTCCACGTTGCCTTCTGCATCCTTATGCCGTTGAGCATTTCTTGGTTCATCCGCCTTCGAGATAGATTTCTCTATGTCAGGACAAAAGAGTTCCCTTAAGTTAGAGCAGCTACATAAACTAAATTTACTTATGCTTAAGTATAACAGGAATTTAGCGTTGGTAAAGAAACCTGACATCATTATGGCATCGCAACTATTTTCGTAAAATGTCAGTTAGGTAAACAAAATAAAAAAATCTATTAAGGTAAAAGTACCTATTAACGGATTATACAAATTCGTGATGTAAATCAGGCTTATTCAAAAAATTTAAATTATTTTGTTAATACGTTTAAATTGGTTAACCAATACTACGGCGTGTGAGTATCCTAGCGAGAAATTTATTAGGCCATTTTTATATGTATAAATGTTGTGATGACATGTTCTAGCTTTTGTTTGAATTAGTTCGATTTAATTAAGCGACGCAAACAGTTGAAGAGAGTATAATAGAAAAATATCGGCTCTTAAGTTAAGTGAATTTTAAGATAAATATGCCCGCTGAAAAATTACAAGAGTGAGTTGGTGAAGTTCCTGATTAGGAGTAACATCGATTAGGAGACTCTGTAAGTCAAACTATATTACATCAATTATTAGGTAACAAACAAAAATATATATTTGACAACATAAGAACAACCATCTAGTATTTCCAATATAAACAAGAATTTCTTATCTTTTTTGTTTTTGCACCGGCTTAATTGCCTTGTTACAGTTTTTATACAGGACCGCATTCAGATCTAATGACTAATTTCAAAATTTATTTAAATGGATGATATTAATTCCGAATTAGCTCAGGAAATAAGCAGTATTTTACTACCAACACTTTAAAAATCGTATTCATCAGTAACCAGTACTCTTAATTTTCTATCCAGAAAGCAAGCTATAGTATTTAGTTCATTATAAAATGTAAAATTGGAAGATTATCTTGTATCACTAGGATCCGTTATTTCTTTAAAAGATATATTGTTCTCTTCTCGTATAGCTAACAACAGGATTTGTATTTATTTATCTAAGGAAGAATTAGTTGACAAATTTATAAATGTTCATTAAGGAAAAATCATAGTAAACAATCAAATATTACAAGGAAGAAGATTAATTACTACTAGTAAACGACTAATATTATCCAATGTATGTCCAAAATTCCACATATATTATAGAATCAGAACTACAGAAACTAGGCTTTAAACTTATGTCTCCCCTAGCATTCCTTAGAATTGGCACATCTCGTCCCAAATTTCAGCATGTACTAAGTTTTCGTAGACAGGTATATATTTCACCTTTAGTGGACCTAATACTTCCTGAATCCTTGTTAATTTGTCATGACAATACAAACTATAGAATTTTTATGTCTGTAGACCAACACTCCTGTTATATTTGTAAAAAGATTGACCATATCGCCTCAAACTGTCCTCAAAAAAACAATAACTCCAGTTTAATAATAAATAACACAGTAACTACGCAGACATTATAACCGACGTAACACAACACTCAGTACAAATCCATTCAGAACCAAATTATTTGATACAAGACACTCAATCTAAACAATATAAAAATAAAGATGTAGATGTAAATAAACCAAGGCCAAAAAACGATAACCCGTTAACAAATGAAGGTATAAACGGTAATGAAATAGGATTAGAAACTAATGAATCATTGATCACTTCACCAATTAACACAGAACCTACACTTCAAACACAGAGCAAAAGAGCTTTCTCCGAAACAGTTACACCACCTGAAACTCCTGAAATCTTCTAACTGAAGTCTGAAAAAAAAACTATCCCAACAATAGATCCCATTGATATACAGAAATTGATGCAGCCAACAAAAGTATTTTTTACAAAATATATTGAGGGGTTACTACAATTATAAGACATCATCTACCCTCTATTTAATGAAAAAAATAGTGAAATCACATTGCATAACGATTAAGCGCAAAATGTCCAAATTGCTGTATACAATTTCCTTCTCTGAATTAGAGAGCGATCAAGTACAAGAATAAAAATTAACATATATGCATCAACGAGTTCACAAAACACTTATGGTTACGAAAATGGAAACTCTTCTTCTTCTTCAAGTGCCATCTCCGCGGCGGAGGTCGGCAATCATTATAGCTATTCGGACTTTTGAGACGGCTACTCTGAAAAGTTCATTTGATGTACATTCGTACCACTCTCTCAGGTTGCGCTGCCATGACATTCTAGAGAATGTCATGGCATTCGAGGCAAATAAAAATCGATGTTAACCACTCTTTGGGTAATACGCCTGAACTATAAATTTGGTTCAAGAGTGTCACTAAAACATCAATGTGCTTCTCATCTAGAATTTTTAGGATTTCGATAAGAAGCATATCAGGATCAGGGCTTTTCCCAGTCTTCATGGTTTTAATGCGTATAATATTTCTTCTTTTGTAATATATGGACCTATTTCTTCTGACGTAAGTTCTATGTGCTCCAGATCTCCTCTTTTATCATCGAACAATTCGTTGATATATTCTGCCCATCTTAGTATTTTCTCTTACTAAATCTCATCATAGTCTAGATAGTCTAGATTAGTATTCATAGACCAAGTCTTATCATATCATAATCTCTCTTAGAAACCCTTACCAAATAATAAATAACGACAAGCAAACCCAGATCTATCAGCGAAAACACCAATTTTAGTAAAGCGCTACGCCTGTATTGTTCTGAAGCTATTGTTTAATTTACTGTTTGTATTTTGAGAACGATTTCCGAAGTGGAAATTGAAACGTCAATAAACGTATTTTTATCTTTAATTGTGGCTTATTCCCAGTTTAATAGTAATTAATTTACGCTACGCCTGTGACACCAATATAACTGTAGGTCACATGGTTATATACTGTCCACTATATCAAATCAAAAGACAAGCTAGTGGACTACCAAGTGATATACAGTATTGGAAGATTCAAAACGGAACATACGAATTATTAATACAATTATTAAGATCCCCTGACCTGCAATTACCCAGTGTAAATTTCAATATAACGTCGCGATGTCTTATAATTAATTCATTTGTTCGACTGGACTCCTTCTCCAGTCGATATTTTTCGAGTGCTGCGCACGTGCGCACCTTAATAATACGACTAATAGTTGATTGTGTCGGTATTCGGGTATTGGCCTATCTTCATACGCACAAGTAAATAAATTTATATCACGGTACGAGTTGCCCCATAATACCATTTTAAAATTTGTACTTTTTCTTTGTTTGTATACATGGTTTATGGTTAGAAACACTACTTTTATTTCAGCTTATGGCGTTATAATGAGAAGCAAAGTAAAGGGCATGTATTTGTTTTGCTCGGCCAGTGATGTTCCTTGGGACTGTTGCCAAATCGATAGATACCTTCGGCAAAAATCTGTAGATTTTGATGTATCATATAAATCCTTTTAAATTTTAAATTATCAACAATATTTGGAATAATAAATATATTAAACTATACACTAACCAATTCAAATAATATCTAATGAACACAACAAAATTGTTATTAATAAAACATTGTTATTATCTGCACAAAAACACAGAAAATCAGTGGACGATAGACAACAGTGTCGACGTAAACATGTCGAATACGCTAGAAATCGCCAAGAAGTAGCAATCCAGTCGAACAAATGAATTAATTATAAGACATCGCGACGTTATATTGAAATTTACACTGGGTAATTGCAGGTCAGGGGATCTTAATAATTGTATTAATAATTCGTATGTTTCGTTTTGAATCTTCCAATACTGTATAGTTCGCTTTAGTCAGTGCGGATTGTGACAACATCATTAGGTTTTTAAAGAAAACGAAATTGTGATACTTTAGGAAAAATTCTAAATTATAATCAACTTTGTAAAAACTTTATACTTTATATTTTATATTAATTATTATAATATATTATAGTCTATATTGTACCGTTATTCCCAAAAAAAAAAATATTAATTCAACGTATTTTACTTTGTGACGTTTTTCTTGTGGTTTTACTGTAACTAGCTAAACTTAGAGGACAACATTTATTCACTGAAAAACCAAAATGTTCATACCTAATTCTGTGTGTTTTTTTTAATAAAAAGAAAAATACTGGCACGCTTCAGATTGTTGTTAGTACTATTTCTTGTAAGATAACAGTAGTAAAAATATATAATGAGGCTGTTGTTCACTTACTCTTTAAAATTTATATGGTATTTAGCTACTTCTTTCAGATGACAGCGAATATTTTCTTGATATTTGTTGTCCAGCAAGCAAGCCTCACTTGTAGGCTTCCTTAAATTTAGTTTTATGTATCTTAACAACCAATCAATGTGCAACGTTGTATAAAAAGATAAATACATTATAGTATACACGATGACACTAAGTCCATATGATGCTAAAATAAATATAATTAGAAAGTTAATACATTCCAGCGTTTTCAACGAGAGTCATCAGAAAATAATTCATGCAAAATAAAAATAAATATAGTGATTTAACCTTTCATCGTGCGCACGGTAATAATTCTTCGAGCCACTTACAAATTACCAATCAGCATATCGCACTAATAATACAGTAGTGTCTTAACCCTTTAAGTAACCCTCGTATTACCCTTGTATTTTCGCCAGAGCATTGATTATAAACCACTACCTAGATAGCTCACCTCGTGGTAACCGAAAGACGTATCAAAAACTAGATGGCGTTACTCGAAAACCCTATCGAAATTCTCATTCTCTCTCTGACTTGCAAGGAGATAGGAGTGGTGTCAGGGCCGAACTTACCCTATAAGTGTATTATTTGTGTCAAGAGTTGTGACAAGTTATAGCGAAATTTTATAAAATAAAAAGGACTCACATTTTAGATAAAATTGCCTCTGTAACGCATTAATATGTTTACGCGGGATGTTTTAAAAAAAAACAATGGAACAAATAATAATATATCTTTCTTTAAATTTCCTCTGAAAGACGTTAAGCGCACAAAAATTTGGCAAAAAACTGTGGGAATATTGATATTATTTTGATGAATATCAGTGACCTAAAACAGAGCGTAATTTGCCAGCATCATTTTGCAGTGGACCATATTTACCAAAGTGGCCAAAGAAAGTTATTAAGGAAAAATAATCTTCCTCTAAAATTTACACAGTTAGCAACTGATTTAGGTGAGTACCCAACTTTAGAAATATTTTTATGTTTGCGTAATGCGCTTTGTCAATGAGAATAATAATATTAAAATATATGTTGTATAAAATCAGTTGATATTGAATGATTTATATATATTTTTATACAATTAAATCAAAAGAGATTTTTTTTTAAATATAAATGCATTGTTAGTATCACTCCAGAAATAATGGAGATACTTGTTTTGCTTTTATTAAAATTACACATACATTTCAATGATTACCTATTTTAGGTAATACCTCACCAGTATGCTCTACATACGTTTATTGCGAACTACGGTACAATAACCCCCATTGTCAGCGGTATTGCAGTTCAATAGTCCAGCCGATCAGCAGTTTCGACACATATTCCAGACAGGTCGTCATCAATTAGTTTCATATAAATACTGTAAATTTTTATTTCTAAGTCACTTGTGATTCTATTAAATAAAGTGCTATTACTCTGTTTGTTGTACCTTTAAAAGGGCCTTTTTAAAAAGTACCTTTTTGAGTGACAACCCTTAATTTGCGGTACGAAACGTAAAAGATCTACAAGTGGCGATAAGAGATCAAGTAGTAGTCTCAGTGATATTTCCAGTTTTGAAATTAATTTGCCCACAAAACTTGAAACTGAATTGACGGAGTACGTAAAAAAAATGGAGTATCAAGTAAATGCTCTAAAGAAGAAGTGCCGTCAGAAGAACAGTCAGCGTTGTAGAAGAACAACAAAAAACAGAAAATCGACAAGAGAAAAATAATATTCACTGTCTACACGGCTTTCGGTGGACAATTTTGTCAATTTTATGTTTGTGGGAGGAACTTCAAAAATATAATGTGTCATATCTTTTAACATCTTTTCTGAACTAAGATCTTCTAGATTTTTTTTCTCTATTGTGCGCAATAGAGAAAAGCATAACACAAATATTAAACTAAAAATTGCTTTAGACAATGAAAATTGTGAAATAGCCACAAACTGATAATTTAGATACAACCCACGAAGTAACTGAACTGACTAGCGACTGACTAGTAACTGAAATAACTATCTGAAGAGTCCATTGAAACCCAAACAGTTCATGTAGAAAAATCTTTAAACAAGCAAAAGGAAAATAATGACAACCAAATTTTAAGCGCGGCAAATTCCATCAAATCTAGCATAAATTTAGAAACTTATGCTGTTACATATTTATGTCGCTGGTTATATGTATTTACTATAAGATTGTAAAGAATTGAAGATTTGCTAAAAGACAATAAAATTCTATTACAGAAACACGAATTAATGTTACTTTTCAGAGATTATGCCGCGAATGAAGAAATAAAGTTTCTTCAGAGACCATCAGATTTGTTTGTTACTATTACTACAATATTGTTAAAAAAGTTTCACGAGGCTTTTAATTTATTTAAAGCAGATATTGCAGTTTTTAAAAAAATTGAAACCCATGTGACTAAGTATATTTTATTAACTACTAATTGGCTTGAAAGCTGCGAAGACCATAAAAGAAAAATTATAAAATTCTTGGTAAAAATCAAACTTTTAAAAACTTGTCAGTGGTATAACGTTAATGAATACAAACAAAAAACTAAAGGGGAAAAGATTCACAGAAAATTACTTATTTTCGATAAAAGTAAAGGTAAATAAACTTCAAAATGCAAAAATTCGACAAATAAACAGCAAAAAAATTCTTCTCGACTTTTAATAATAAAATGTTTCGATATTGTCAATAATGAAAGTACTTCATGAGAACAACAAATAACAAATATTTTTTTTCCTAAAATTTTAATTTTACAATTTTCGTTTGAAAAGAAATAAGATTAAAATATACTTATTTACTTTGTTTTGAAATATGATCTAATTAGTGATGTTTTAAACTTTCTAATCCTGTCCGTTTATCATCTTTTACCTGTTGTTCCTAGGCAGATGGCCCTCAACTATTTAGGCGTCGAAACGTTAATAAAATCATTTTTTTACTTTAATTGTGGCTTATTTCCCATCAAAACTAGTTAAGATCTCGATTAACAAAATTTTTTAAAATTTTTATAAATGCTTGTCTTGCAATTTCAATGCTCTGATTCAATGTCCTGATTTCTCCAATAAATACCTTGGTCATTGTTTTTATTGTATTATTATAATGATCTGTAAGTTTCATTTGTGCAAAGGGCTTATTTTTAAAATTTTTTTGTTAATTTTGAAAAAAATGTTTTTTTTTTCAAAACAACTTAAAATTTATTAGTGACACCAAAAATCACAAAGAGTAAAAAAATGTAGGTTTTGCTTTTCTGAATATTTTGGTCATAACTTTCTTACTATTGGTGCAAGAAACTTAACAAAAATAAACCTGTTTTCAACACTTTAAAAAAATTGTAATGAGTTTTCGTCGAAAATGCTTCATTTTTTTATTATTTCACGTTGAAATATTCAACATGGAAATTGGCGAAATGGTAACTATTTTTCAATAACTCAAAAAGTATTGACTTAGTGAAAAAACTGTATAAAACAAGAGTTGCTTAGAATTACTGATTTTAGGCAATTCCGAACTTATCTTGAACATGTATTTTTCACTCCCGATAAGGGGTGAAACCGAACCATAGGGCAAAAGCATAATCTTTTTTTCTTTGACATATTAGCTAGGTGTAAGCCAAATTTCATGTCAATCCAAGCGATTCTTTAAAATTAGGAGGTTTTGCAATATTTTACCGTGAGTGAGTGGACTAAATCTGGAAATAAATTCTGTATATTAGCTTAAAATATTTTAGTTTGCACTAATTTTGGAAATTAATTTGTTTGTAAAGTTACAAAAAAGTCATTTACATGAGATGTAATTTATCACTGCTAATTTTATTACGTATTTTATATTTTGTTTTTTTTTTGTATTGTGTTGATAAATAAATGACTTATAGAAAATCTTTACTATTTTCATTAATCAATTTTTAGCGTTTTTCCTTAAGTAAAATCGGAATTTTATAATACAGATTACAAGCACGTTAAAATTATTTGTGAAAATGCTAAATGCCATCCTTATATCGTCCTCTATTGCACTAGAGAATTGCCGGACCAGGGAACTCAAATTTATTTTTCAATCTTGGCGAAGATTTTAATGAATGTCGCCACCATACAGTCAGGTAGTACTTTGGCGTGAGGGGCAAAGAGGTGTAAGTGGGCGGAGTTTAACACTGAATTCGTTTTTGGGTAGTACAAAGTAGATTTCTACCTATTTACATCTATACTTGTATTTTAATAAGTAATGCATAGATGGATCTGATATCGAAACGCTTACTCAACAACATTTTTGTACCAGTGGATTCTAGTGTGCTTCTTTTTTGCAATTAGCACGAGTCTGAATCTGTTTTGTTATTTTTTCATCAAAATTTGACCATTGAGGAGTGCTATAAAAGGTAAGTGTTTTTTATTACCAATATCAGGATACTTTACAATAGTTACAGAATAAAAAATAAATTATATCAAAAGTAAAGAAAATTTAAAATTATTTTGAATATGATATTTTAGAAAAATGTAACCTCAAACTTTCCTCTAAAATATAAATATATATAACCATCACAAATATGCTAAATTGGTTACATATATGTCATGTTGGTCATTTTTGTACATTTTCGTCATACATTATGAACCAATCTGCGCTCAGCAAATATTTTTCACAATACCTCAACATGCATGTTTTTTTCAGATGTCCGAAAACTATTCTGATATACAATATTGGAAAAAGAGCCTTACAACTGAACAATTAGTCAAAATATTACATAAAATAACGGATGATCGAGCTGAACATTCCGAGATCGAAGGAGACTCAGATGCTGAGGATGTAGTAGAACCTGGCACACCATCAGAAAGATTTACCAAAAGTTCGTCTACAATACTGCCGTCTACTCCCTCTTTAAGTTTTACAGCCAAAATAGACAGACGAGCCCATACGTAGAAAACGTAAAAAATCTACAATTTACGACTTTTTAGAACACGAGGATTAAGATTATTCTGTAGCAGACAGAGATTACCAACCTGAAAAACCCTCTCAAAACAAAAATATGAATGCTTCATCATCAAGTGAAGATGAAGCAACTTTTGATGTTACCAATGAGTTAAAGGGGTGTTCTAAAGAACCAAGAATACCTACCGAATTTAAAAATTGTAATTATGCAGAATTCAAGGGTTCGAAAGGGTCTTCTGAAGACCCAGTAAGTTTTTTTAATGTTTTTTTAATAACACCTTACTACAACACATTTTAAAACAGTTAAATCTATATGCTTTCCACGACGACAAAAATTTAGATTTGTCCTTCGAAGAATTGACAGTTTTCCTAGGAATTTTAATTCTAATGGGATTTAATAGTTTACCTTCTATCAAAAAATACTGGTCTGCCGATCCAAATTTTTATAATGAAAGGATTACTAATATTTTCGTTTCAAAGAGATTTCTTAAAATATTAAAATACATCCATTTGAATGATAACCAACAAATGCCAGCCAGAGGAACCCAGGAATTTAACAAGTTGTACAAAGTGAGATCTCTTATTCAAAAATAAAAAAAAAACCCTTATGGAATCTTTTTCTCAAAGCAGAAATATTTTAATTGAGAGTACGGTTGTCTTTAAAGGAAGGACTACTTTGATAGAGTACATGACAATGAAACCCATAAAGAGAGGTACACAAATTTGGGCAATGGCATGTGCTGAAACAGGTTACCTCATCAATTTTGAGGTATATCAAGGTAGAGAACCTGAACGGACTAACGAACATACTCTAGGGGAAAGAGTTATACGGAATTTAATTAAAGTGCTGTAAAAAAGGGGTCACTGCATGTACTTTGACAAATTTTTTACCACACTTTCTCTTATGAATAAGTTTTCAGAACTAGGTCGTTTGGGTTTTGGAACAGTAAGACAAATACGAAAATATTTTCCAAAAGCACATTTAGTAGATGACCCAAAAATAAAAATGGGTGAAAGGATCGTGGCTCAAAATCTGTGACCGTATGCAGTAATATGCATAATCATGCAGAAAATGGTTTTGTTTTGAGAACATCAAAAACTGGAGAACGAGAAAACACCCGCTCTCCTCAAGCCATTGTAGACTACAATATGTATATGGGCGGTATTGATCTGTTTGTCCAACGAATGCAGCCATACTCAGTAGCTTGGAAAAGTCGTCGATGGTGGATGAAGTTATTTTATTACCTTTTCGATGCATCCATAGTAAATTCTTGTATAATTTATAAAGAATACCTTAGGCAAAGTAACAGTAGAAAAAAGCAATATCTTACCTTGAATATAGATCCAAATTGGCTACCAGTCTAATAAAAGATTTTTCTTCGAGAAAAAAAATTGGGAGGCCATTGAACATGCGAGTATTTTCAAAATGTTGGTCATTTGCTGCAGAAAACCATGCGAAGACGATGTGCTCTAGCTCATCGCCTTCAGACCAGCAGTGCTCAAAAACGGGATTACAGAAGCGCATTGATATAGGGCCCCATTCTGTCTCCGGCTTCTAAACAACATGTAGCTTCTTCTGCTCAAAAAATTTTAAAGTGTTTGTTTGTCTTTGTGTATCGTATTTTGTATTGTCCAAATTTACTTTTATGACATTCTAATCATGTCGGATAGCCCACAACTGATGAAATGCCCCTGAAGATGATCTGTTGATCGAAAGTACTTGGGCAAGATTAAATTAATCACCGTGTTCGATAGTTGCCTTGTATACCGTCAAAGTTTAATTATTCGAACATTCAACCTTATATTGAATAATGTAACAGGTCAAAAATAGTGAACTGAACCAATAATAGTATTGTTAGTAAAAATATTAATTTAAAAAGTGTTGGTGTAAATCAGTAATAGTGTAATAACTAGAAAAACAACAATGTTTATGGTTAGACTTAACTCAATAAGAATGTAATAACTTGAAATATAGCTATGAAAATTACATACCTGATTCAGCAATATCGTGAAAACTCGAGCAAAGCAACACGTGCATTTCTGATCACTCTTGGGTGCAACTACAGATGATGAGATATTGTGAGGTGAGTGACGACAGTCGGTCAGTCATGAATAACGTCTTATGCCGCCATCTCTTATTTATATATTGCACTATTAAAACGACAGTTTTATTGACTTAAAGGTAATTGAATTTTACGTGTGGATATAGTGTTATGCCAATTTCGATACATTTTGAGTTGAGACACTGTTATATTATTAGTGCGATATTATTTTGGGCTTAAATTATAAAATATTTCATGTTTCAATTAGTTAGTTAATAATATTTAAGTTGTTAACAGAAAAGGTATAACAATAGGTTAATAATTATTATCAACCTAAACTAGTAGCACACATAAAAATCGCTCACCTAAGCAATTCAATTTATAACACTTTTTTTTAAATACTTTTGATGTACGATGACAGTAAAAGCATTTACCTTTTTCGGGATATTTATTACCCTAAAACAATTTAATAAATCGGCTCCTGTCTTCAGCTCTCAGCAAAAACTTACTATTGCTCTGAAAGATTATGATTTCTAAAGCACAAATTGGTCAATCCTTTTGTATTTAAATTGGTATTATTAAAGCAGTGTAACAGTTCTTCGTCTTCTTATTCGAATTTCGAATTATCTTTGAATTATCTTAAGGCCAGACGCCTGTTTTTTGCGGCATGCAAAAGATCGCCAGTGTTATTTATGCCCGTCCAGTTCTTTATGTTCCGTAGTCACGACATTTGTTTACGACCTACTCCTCTCTTGCCTTGTATTTTTCTTGCCCTGGATGATTAGTTGAGGAATTGCCTATTTTTTCCTCTCCGAATATGGCCAAGGTATCCAATTTTTCGTACTTTGATCAAATTGAGTAGTTCTCTCTCAATATTTTCCTTTCTTAAGACTTCCTCGTTTCTCACCCTATCTGTCCATGGTATGTGGAACATTCTTCGCAACGTCCACATTTCGATGGCCTCCAACTTATAAATGGAAGGTACTCTTAACGTCCATGTTTCCATGCCGTATAACAATATGGACCATACATAGCATTTAACCATCCTGTAGCGGAGATTGAAGGAAATATTGCGGTTGCATAGTAGCGGTTTAGATTTAATAAAATCTTGTCTTGTTGTTCGGTACGGCATTTTAGTCCTTGAGGATTCCATTGGTTATGCGTCATCATTCCTAAGTATTTAAATGGTTTTACTTGATCGATTGAAGCATTAACTACTTGAAGTTGTATTCTTAAAAGTGCTTTTTTTTCTTATTGCCATGCATTTAGTTTTTCCAGCATTTATCTTCAAGCCATATATTTTTCGTCGTCGGCGAAACGAATGTTAGTTATCGGGAACCCGTTTACCTTTATTCCACACTCAGAGCCTTCCAGTTATCTATATATTCCAGCATATATATATCTATATATTTGGATATAGAATAAAAAAATAGAATGGTTTTGATGTTTTTTGTAGCTATTTTCACATTGTCAATAACCTTTAAGATCTTTATTAATTTATATGTTAATGATGGTATCTAGGGAAGTATATATTAAAAGATGTTTTGATTGACAGAACCAAGCAGTATTCTGAGATCTCACAAAAGATGGTGTCAGATTATTCACATTAACGATATTGGAAAAAACCATCCTGTTTAGCATATGTGGAGGATAAGGGTTCTCAATCAAAATATTCTTAAGTAATAGAGGATCTTTCCGTAGATAGTCTGGATAAGGTAATCTTATGATACGTTCTTTTAATCTTGTTATAAGGTTCATCTTTATTTTGTTAGGATGTTGTAAATAGTAGCTTATAAACCTATTACTGCACATTTGTTTTCTGAACCATCTGGTTTTAACACATTGTTTGTAGTTCTAACAATTCTCATGTCAAGGAATAGTAGAGCATCCCCCACATCTTCTTTCACTGTAAATTGTATATGTTGATTATGGCTGTTGAAAATATTGAGTTTCACAAATTCACAATCTCTGTAAAGCCTACAACCAAATAATTTACGTACCTCTTAAAAAAAGGAATAAAAAAAGTGCATTCTAGCAATTTCGATCAACCAATCTAGATTTTTGAAAATGAAAGGCAAATGTCGAGCACAATTTTAACAATTAAATCTTGCACAAGTACTTTCGCTTAAAACAGAATCTTCAGGGGCATTTCGTCAAATTTGGGCTATCCAGCAAGCGTAGAATAACGAAATGCCTCTGAAGATGCTGTTTTAAGCGAAAGTACTCGGGCAAGATTTAATTGTTAAAATAGTGCTCGATATTTTGCCTTTCATTTTCAAAGTTCATTTATTCGAGCATTCAACCTTATATCAATTTATCAACCTAGATTTATCTGGTGAGTTATTTTTTGCATTTCAGTTTCCACTTTATTGGTTACTTTTTCTTGTAGCTCTCGAAAAGGAATGTAAACATGTTCGAAAGCTGGAGTAATAAAAAATAGTCTTTTATTAGCCTTTCTATCTATCTTTTATTTTATTAACTGCAACCCCCACCAAAACTCAATATTGTTTTCTCCAAATGAGTCAACAAAGTACATTTTGTTTTGTATATATATATATATATATATATATATATATATATATATATATATATATATATATATATATATATGTATATATATATATATATATATATATATATATATATATATTATTGTTGTAATGTTACTAAAATTTTAAAATTCGATTAGCCATTTTATTCATACAAAATTAAACAATAGAATATAGTAAATTTATCTTTTTACCTATAAAGACACCGATATCTCCTAATATAACTATCACATTTCCTATACGTTCATTATAATAATTTTTCACAAACCAATCAATAATATCTATTCTGTCGTCATGAAGCCAAAATGGCACAAAAAAAAAGTTAGATAAGAAATTCGTCATCATGACCACACCGGCAGCAAAAATTTCTCTTCGAGATTTCTTACGGATCTGTTCTTCAAAAGTGTCGTCCTGTATATCTAGTTTACTTGATATGCGACGTAATATTTCTAAACTGGTTAACATTGAATGCATATGAAAAGCCATCAAATAAATACCGACGCATCCCTTAAATGAATAAAAGTCATTTAAAAATTATTAAAAACGTGTAGAGGAAGGTGGTATACACTGAGACGCGGTACACAGTGAGACAACCAATTTAAATTCAAGTTTTCTTCCATTTGCTTCACCAATCTACATAAGAGGACTATTACATCACATAATATGTCGCTACTATTGTTATTTTTGCAATATGACGTATAGCATAAATGTGTAGCTAAGGCCGTCCGCACATGAGTCGACGCCCGAAGTGGTCGACTCGATTTTAATCGCGTAGGTCTCTCCCCACCGCCCAAGTTCCTTCGTTGTTGTATTGAGCTCCACACACGGGGTGTTTAGTGGTCGTCTAGAATTGCAAATCGCCTCGTCTTGTACGACTCTCGTCACATGCGATCGGTAGTGCACGAGAAATTTCGAGTGAGACGCACGTTTTCAGTCATGGGGATAAAATTATTGTATTTGCTTCCTTCGTTTTTTATTGTTTTTTGCCCTAAAACAATTTTTTTTAAGATCGACGAATATTATGTTCTTTGTTTGTAATACTACTAGCTTTGTAGAAATGTATTGTTTGTGATATAAAATTCTGAAAACATTGAATTTCTGTTTCTAGGTGTTTAATATAAAATTCGTTGGGGAAATGTAAAAATCCCCTTAATTGTATAGTTATTCAATGAAAGAATATGCCAATATGGATATATTAAAAATGCGTTCTTCCTGGTTGGCGGATGTGAGCAAACAGCAAACTGAATCGACTAGTGTGCGGTGAACAATCGCTAGTGCAGCAAGGTTCATATAAGACGAGCACGACGCATAAAGTTAGACGCTTGCGTTTGATCGACCCATGTGCGGACGGTCTTAAAAGTGATTTTGATAGTATAAAGTTACTATAAGTATAAGAACTATAAGTAGTTATTGAGTGATCTTAGCTGAATATTGGCGCATCACGTGTTGTGAACAAGGTACGTTATTGTCTATAACTTATAACTAATTGTACTTGTTCCCAATGGTAAATTTCAAAATTCTAACAGTATACAGTGAGACAAGCACTATTGGTACAGAGTTGGATTGTCTCACTGCGTACCACAATTGAATATTAACACAATTACATGAATATAATAATACCGTTTTTGTTGCAGATGCCTATAAAACTGATTGTTCCATGCAAAATTGGATAAACGTCTGCACGTCTGCTGAACAGATGTCCAATGCTGTTAATGGTGTCATTGATGGAATCTGTTCATTAAGACAAGCCGCACAAAAATTTGATGTCAAATTTCAAACCCTTTAGAGATACGTACAGAAGAAAAGAAATAATCCTGAGAATTTACCAATTATTATGCAACCAAACAATTTGGTAAACAAAATTTGTACAGCTAAACAGAAAGAAATGATGTGTAACTACATTAAAATTTACAGTAATATGGCGTACGGCCTAACCAACGTAGCTGTAAGACGCATCGCATTTGATGTAGCTAAAGTGAATAAATTGAAGGTACAAAAATCATGGACAGAACGTAGAATGGCCGGTATCAACTTGCTTCGTGAATTTATGAAAAGGAAAAAGTTGAGTATACGACAATCTGAGGCAGGTAGCTGGGTACGCTTAACTTCTTTTAACCGACACAACGTTCAGCTGTTTTTTGATAATTTTTAAAACATCCTTAACATAGCAAAAACATCCTATTTTAATTGAGAGTTCACGTATTGTTAATCTTGATGAGTGTTTGGGAAACTATGTGCGAATACATTTCATAATTTTACAGTTAATATTTTTTCTGTTACGGTACTGTAATATGATTTAATTTGGTGCTGTATTTTAAAAGACCTTTTTGAAATATATTGTTTCCTGTTGTCTCATAAAACTTAAACTGGATATCTCATTTATGATGTTGTGAATACGGAGAATTTGGCTTCTCTTTTGTATGGTTCAAAAATATACACACAAGTGT